AAGGTCAGAAGACCTTGAAGTATCAACCGGAAATTCTAATTAACTGAATATGTGCATAAAAATTGTAACATTTTGTATTAAGGACAAGAAATATAGTAAGAGAATGATATAGGGCATAAATAATGGCCTATATCATCTAGATATGTACATCTACTATAAAAATTGACAAACTTATGTTAAACAGTCCAACAAAAAAAATAACTTCCTCTTTCTTCTCTGTAGCACATTCAACATGTTTTTTTTTAAATAGATCAGGTCACTTCTTCCTTTATTAGTGACTGAATGTAGTTTATTTCTCTGGTAGCATAATCAAGGAAAAAGCTAATGATTGTCCTCATGCTCACCAGAACTGCCAAGTTTTCACCAGTTACACAAGTACACACAGCACATAAAGTACATAAGACACAATGGCAAAAAACGGCAAAGTCGAGGTGTCTTAATTGTCAGTAGATTATTCACTTAGCAACTCCTACACAATGTATTTATATTAATATATAATCTATAGATAAATAGATAGATAGTTAAAGGTGCTATGACCCATGGGTAGTTTGTGTTTTCTAAAAGTTCACCTTCCTTTTATACAATGGAACCAATGTCCTTTCTATTTCCTATCATTAGCTAGAGAAGGGCCATGTCTTTGTTATTTTCCATTACAGACTCCTTAAAGTATTTATTTGTCATTTCCTTTTAAAATAGTCAGAATATGTGCCCAATTTCTTACTCCGAAAGAGCTCAGTTCTTTTCGGCTGTTTTGAACAGTTTCAGATTTTTCAATATGGGGATTATGCCCCATATTTCTGTAAAAATGAATGTTTACACGGTTGTAATTGTTTCAGCTGAGTCGGCTTTATTTCATCAAGTACAAACATATACAGTACAGGGAATTTGTTCTGGCGTGTCTGGTCATACATATATTTCCCTATTATTTTCATTTTTGCATGTTACATCATATATTGTAACATATTGTGACGTTGACTTGTAATGTATGGGGTAGACGATGTTTATCTTGATATACCCTTCAAGGCAATGATTATACAAGGATATGGATACGTATTAGAGCAATGTATTTGAAATAGAAAGTAGCTTCATATAGATGAAAGGAACATTTAGAGGTTGGTAGGTCTGAAGATGTGCATTTATTATGTGCTACAAAAGAATTGCATATTTACTCTGCATATTGCAAAACTAGGCCAGGTTGATTCATTAAACAGTCTTACTGGTTATTAACTATTTTATAGAACTTCTTGCTACGTATGTGGATGGCTTCAATTATTTTCATACAATTATTAATTTCTATAAAACTATTTGCCTATTACAATTATACATTTTCTGTGTGCATTGTATAAAACAGCTATGAATACAAATAAAAAAGATATTTAAGTCACTTTGGATAACAGTGGTTTCTACACAAATAATAATGCCAAAATAATGAGCACAGAGTAATCTAATTACATATGTATGAATTTTTATTAAGCCACATTTTATATATTACTAAGTAACCAGATTTAACCAGATTTTTTATACTGAATTTTTTTTCTTTCTATATGCACTTCTTTAAAAATAAAGTAATGTTGTACGATACTGGTTATACATGTTTTATATTAACATATTTTAGCACAGGTAGAGGCTTATGTTCTCTGGACATGTACATATATTAACTGGGAATATCAGATTATTATTTATTATTATTACATTGGTGATGACCTAGTGCAATGCTAATGAGGAGGAAAACTAAGCTGGATCATTAGCCTGCTATTCAGAGCTGTTTCTAAGACTATACTTTGTGGTTTGTTGCCAGAGCATTCTCAATGAATTGTAGTGGCTTCAAGACATTGAAGTCTTGTGTTAAAGGACCCCATATTGTTTAGGAATTAACTGCTTTATAAGACCTATAATTATATGGTACAAATAACCAGACTCAGGGTCTCAGAGGCTTGGAGGCTTCTGGCCTTTTTTCTGATGCTAAAACCTTAATGTGTGTTTAAAAGTTTAATACTAAAATGCCGGACATTTAAAATAAAAATACATAGACTTACAACAGAATACACTGGATTAGGAAGTCCTATAGTCCAATTTTTCTTTTTAGGCAATTTCTACTAAACGTTTCTTTATTTATTTAAGCTCCGTAGTAATGATGAACATTGAATATTGTACGACAAAATAATATAGGAATAGCGCTTCCAAATGAAACCCAGGATAAAGAGAATGACACCATAATATTTTGCCTTAAATCTTCATTAACTTTACCCTTTGGCAGCAGTTTGGGAGACTGCCAGAAATGTGAGGAACAGTCAAGGCTTTTTTCCGACCTCTGCCATAATTGACTTTTTTTTTAATAAAAGACTACCTGGACATCACTCTACCTGAGACCTGTGCCATCAGCTTGCACCCAACACCTTCTATACCCAGACTGGTCATTGTATTTGAATGGTCCAAGTGGTTCTTCACTGGTGACTAAAGTAAGAAAGTCTACCAGGACCTTGGGATACTAACCTCCAGCTCACCGTTTCTTGTGACTCGTAATACTTAAGGTAATTGTAAAAGCAAAATCCCCCGTACAGCACACCCAGAAGCTGTAGAAGTCCTGCTTCTAGTTCAGCAACTTGACTGCCATATGGTCACTCCAGACCCAAACACAGTAGTGTAGGTGGCAGTTCAGTCAATAAGTCATGTAGGTTTTATAGTGCTACCTTTTACCTACAGTATGAACACTTGCCCACTGTCAATATACCACAAATATTATTCACGAGTGAAGAATCTAGAACTTTCATTATGAAATTGCCAGTGAGCCCAAATTACAGTGAAAATAATAGAAAATTAACTAAAGTGATCTTCCAGGCAGATATTCACCTCAAGTTATTCTACTTTTATCTCTAAAGAAACAATTTTGCTCCCAATGTTTTGTCTCTATGCTACTTAATTTCTGTGAAATGCATTTGCTTGTAGGTATATTATATAATAAAGAAAAGTATGATTATTTTAGTTTCAATTTTTTCTGTCTTTCCACCTTCATAGAAAAGAAAATACTTTTTTTACTTTAAGTACTGTATATTGAGAATCACTTTAAACCAAACATGAAAAAAATAATATGGTGACCATGGCTAGGAAGTAGCAGATAAAACACAGGAATGGCACAGAATTTGAAACTGTAAAAAGTGAGTGTTTTCCTGGCAAATCACATATGCACTCATCATAGTTTGAGAAAAAGATGATTTTTCTCTCTCTAAGGAAACAAAACTCTTTTGACTCTCCTAGTAGTGCATACACTATATACAACAACAAATAACCTAATTCCACTACATTTACTGAGGCTTTTCGGTGCTGTTTGAACAAGTCAAGGATGTTGTCATCAAGAATATGAATATACAATTTAAGAAGTGTGTCATAATTAATAATCGCCATCTTAAAGCATATATCAAAAACATACAATTAGGCTGTAATGAAACAAAAAAACGGATCTATTCCTATTGATCAAGCATCTATAAGCTGGATGAAACAGGAAGCTGTCTAAGTTTCCTTCTCACAGGATGAGCTGCTGGGCATGTGACGGATGTCTTATCAGGAACAGCTATTTCATAAGCCGCTGCTAGTGTACTCAGGAATGGCTGGGAGAACAATTGTAAAAATAATAACAAAAAAAACTTTCTATGAAATATGAATGCATCGCATCATTTTCAACAGGTAAATAACCACAGGCGGCTAATTAATCATATTTCACGTTTAGATCTGGCTCACATGCTTCCAGATACATTTAAAAAATTATTTAAAATTGCATAAATGCACTGCTTAAAACATAACAGTGTTCTAAGACTAGAAAGAGGATTTTTGTCAGAGCTTCACTTCTGACCAGAACATAGTCCCATAGTATCATCCAGTCAATGTTATAACTTTTATCGAACAGAAAATTAGGGATCCTTATCCCTAAAAGGATCCCTATTGTCATGATGACTTGTTTAAGAAAAAGCTGTTTAAGGATATGTATTAAATCTACTGAATTAAAACTGAACTAGAATAACAGCAGTTATTTCACACACAACTCATCACAACTAATTAGTATCCAAAGCCTGGGTTCTCTTCATGTACAGTAGGCTCTGTCCTGGTAATGTAATATGATGGTGAACAGTTTATATGTGAAGACTGGTCCTCTGAAATACATAGCATAAAAGTTAAACAAATTTTTAGAATCAGGTACACCACAGCTGTTACACAGTTCTGCCTGAAATTGTTCTGCCTGAAATTGTGCCACATCTAACTTCAGAGGCATTTTCATTAAATTTAAGGTACTACAGCACCCCATTAGCATTCCTGACCTCTGTAAACCCAACCATATATTGAAACGTTCTGGTGATGAGCAGTTGACATCACACACACACACACACACAGCTGTTTAAGTTTAAGTGCATGAACGTATAGCAGTTTAATAGTAATCCAGCCTTCCTTGTAACCTTGTTGAATGCATGTATGGTCAGGTTAATGCTTAAATGAAAGTTTGATATGATCAATAATTTATGCGTCATTTATGTGTGTGATAGGGAATGAGAGAATGGAATGTGCATTCATTTAATGTGTTCTATTTGATTTCCACTAAAACATGGCACAACTGAACTGTCTCCCTCCATTTGGTACCATGCTTTTACTGTAGCATTAAAATCAATAATACATTATCATCCAGATTATGCTTTAAGAATATGTCATTGATTGACTAGCATAACATATATGACATGTCACTGCAGGGCACAACACAGTGTATCAATTCAGGCACGAGCTGAATAAATTGATATTCAATTTATATGGCATCCTGTCTTACTTCCTGTAACATCATTATACGTATTTCATCTGGAATAATGCCTGAACTATATTTGATATTCCAGGAAAACAGAGCATAAAAATAACATGCTGAAAGCTTCAGCCATGCATATCCAAATATTATCTTTAACAAGGTGGTGCTTACAAACGTATCTGAAATAGCACGGTTACCTTGAGAATGTAAAGGTTGAACTACATGTGAAAAAGAAAGAATCAAACAGTGCTGGCAGTGAGAGAACTACTTGTTTCCGAGCTGCGAGGCTCTTCAGAGAGTCAGAGCCTCACATCTTAGAGAGCACTGCAGGCGTCTGCCAGCAAGAGCGTAAACAAGTCAGGAGGCAAGGGGAGCTCAGCTGTTGGGGCTCATTCCAGGAAGCTGGCGATGGCGGCACTGTGCTTTCTGCTGCCCCAGAAGCCCCTGTGCTCTGGGCCGCGCTGCTCCGTCTCTGAGGTAGGGTTACCGCAAAAGCCATGATCCAGTGTAAAGTAATCCCCAGCTATGAGGCTCCATCGCATGCCTGCAGTGCCCTGCAGCTCTGAGAGCATGCGCCAGCGGGCACAGCAGAGAGATTTACCAACTGCTGGGTTCTTAGGTCCCGACAGGTGCAGGGCCAGTTGGATATCTTTTAATCCAAGACTGGAAGCATCACACAATATACTACAGCATATAAAATCCTTTTACAACTACCTTAGACAGGGTGCTGCTTTTATGAATGGTAACACTTCCATGAAGGTTGTTAAATAATCTAAAAGCAAAATGTGATACAAATTCTTAATGAAAAGGGATGTTTTTTAGTTTTGCAGGTAAGATGCAAAATGGCAATACACTTAAAACTGAGCATGTGAAAAAAAATATTGTATTAGTTTAAATGCTTCAGGACTATCGTATAATTAAGGTTCCATTATATGTATTGTAATTTTTTAACTGTTTTCAGGGTCATCATGAGAAGAAATGTTTTTTTAATAACTTTTGACAGAAATAAATACAAAATTTTCTCCACCTCCTACTACTCAATTATGAATCTAAGGAAAGTTACAATTTGCAGTCATACTACCACTTTCACTGGTCGCATTTAAATTACGAAGATTTAAATTTATGTTGTTTATTTGCACATTTACATTTATCAAGCCTTAAATACAACCTGCATGACAAGAATTCCAAGTATTTGTCTAGTGTTCCGACAGACGCAACAAGGGACTGGCAATGTGACATTCTTTAAAGCTGACCTGGAGAACATGCCAGTCATGTGAAGTGTAAGACGGCAGCTGTGGACTGTCACATTGTCTGACCCTGGAAGTCCACAGCTCCATCGGGTAGCATGAGCTCCGTGCGGGAAAAGGCCTGGCAGATCTCCTGTAAGCACAGCTCTGTTTGTTAGACAGCCACTGGTACCAACTACTGAAAGTCGTAATTATAAGGCCCTCCAGTCCCTTAGCTGCTATTGAAGTACTTTCATCCTTGTTTAATTTCTTCTGCGGCCCAGGATCTCACTTCCACCGAAACCTCCTCTGAAAATTCAGAACGCTGACTCGGCAACTTGTGACCGTAATGTTAACCATGGAATGTTCAGCTTCCTTAATTATAGAATGGGCATAAAGTATCCAGATTTGTTTATGCGTTTCACTTTCCTGTTTGCTGCCAAATGGTATAGGTATAGAATTCTAGGCTAGAATTTAGATGTTGAGAAAACGCACATGTATATATGTATTGCATGCAAAACAAGCAGCTGAAAACCACAGAACATGTTTTGTTTTATTGCAATTTGTGCAATCATTTTAAAATAAAATGTTAGGAAAAGTTTATTTCTGATTATTAACTTTAACAATATGATTGATTTTTCAATGATGCAAAGCACTTCCAATGCTTTCTTTCAGTGTGAATTTCATGAACACATAATAAATTATATTGAACTTGTTTAAAATATTCATCATATCTTATATATTTAGTTGGTTACATCAAAGCAATGTGAAAAGATAAACAATTATCCCTGAACTGGGAATATGTTCATAAATAATTAATATTTTTTCTATTCTTTTCCTCAAGATCTAAAATTCTTATCTGGGAAATGAGACAAAAGACATTACCCTCTCCCCTATAGACACAGAAGAAATGAAGAAAAATAAGCTTATACTTCCATAAATTAGTCAAATAATACATTTCAAATCTAATCTACAATATAGTATTGAATTGTTGTAGGCAGTTATGACCACATTTCATAGATTTTCAGAATTTGGGAACTTAATCTCATCTGCTCTCCTTGTGTGGAGTTTGCATGTTCTGCCTATTTCATGCAGGTTTCCACATGGTACTCTGGCTTCCTCCTGCAGTCCAAAGACATGCTGTTAGGCTAATTGGCATCTCTAAATTACAGTGCGTGTGCCCTCCAATGGACTGGCATTCTGTCCAGGATATACTAGCGTGGGCTCCAGGCCTCCTGTGACCCTGACTGGAATGAGTGGGTGGAAAATGGATGGAAATTAATATTATAATGTAACTTAGACAGTATACTAAAAATTACCCATTCCATCTGACATGAAATGAGAAGTTCAGGATTCAATAATACTCCATTGAATATATAATTATGCACATTGGAAAAAAAATCGTCTTTAGAAGGACAGTAGTAGAACACTTCTCAGGTCCTCCCTTTCAGCATTACTCATACCATCTGATCCTGGCCAGTAGCCCTATTAAGGGTTTTCAGCTGGGTGGTCTGACCCAGACAAGCATTTCATGCAATGAACACCGACATGTTGTCTCTGCTCCTCCTAACGTATGATAATGAATGAAAAGAGGGTCTCCTTCAGCCTCTGTATGACTAAGATAGTTTGGAATTGAATATTGCAGAAGAGCTATCATATTGACTTCTAGTTTTGTTTGTTTAGAATTTGTGGCTTTAAATTATGTCGCTCAATATTTGGTAGACATTTGACCATTTCGTCAAATATAGCTGGTGGCTATTACGATTAGTGGGAAGACTCGTCCAGTGAATCTGACAGTAAGATCTCTGTCAAACCTGGCTGGACTGTTTATCTGTCTGTCTGCTGGTTTATCTGACTGTCAAATTATCCTTCTCAGCAAACATCTCATAGCACTTAGAATGTAAATAATATTACTCTGGTCACATGACTGGGGGACGCTAGGACGCTTCGGGGGGGGGGTGTTTCTTCGTGAAATGGAGCACAAACACTTTCATAACAAATGTAAATATTTATATATGAACACATTTTATGAAGTCATTCATTCAATGCCTCTGAAACAGAGAAACCTATGTTTTATTGCACAATATAACAGCCGACTAGCATAAAGTATAAAATGATTTATGGCAGATCTTTTTTCTATTATAAAATAAATATTACCCGGATACTTAAATGTCCGTATATTGCTGTTAGATTTCAGAGAACCATTTAAAATTGTTTCTGATACAGCAAGGATTGCCACTTTCTTTACCAGGGACAATAATGACGAAAATAATAAAGATCTGTCATTATTATTAAATTAGTAATATAATTGTATGTTCATTGGTTTCTGCATAACACAGCGGTCTTTACAAATCCATAGCACTAAACACATATTTTAATCTCTGCTACAAATGTATTATTTATAACATTATTTCATTCATTCATGGAATATGTAATACCATAATTGTTTTACTCTGTAAGAGCTTGTTTCCACATGGATTTTCTAAATCGTATGCTTCCACATTTTCAAAAAGCAAAAATAAATAAGTGAAATAAAATAAATCATAAAGGCTACACTGTTTGACTCAACCTATCAAAGAAATTTCTTTTTTTTTTTCAAATTAAAGTACATCAAGGTAATATGCAACATATATTTATATATAAATCTATCGTACATGTTTGAAGAAGAATCAAAGTGAATAAAAGTAAGTCACACTGAAAGGCATTTACAGTGATTAACAAATTTGGCAAGATGCCCTAACCAGGATAAATTATTTTTATATGCACCGCAATGAAGTTGTACTTGACTCTGTGTGCATTGGGTCTTGTCCAGAGTATAAAACTCACTCGCATTTAGCTTCAAAAATGGTTGCTAAGGAATTTTTGTATTGACTAAACATGTCGTTCACTGTACACTGTTTAGCATATGGTTTTGAATTGTCACAACCATGCTATTCATTGCTGGAGTCATGCTCTTTAAAAGTATATGTGGCAAGTATAAGATGTGACAGATGTAAATAAACGGATCCACACTACTTACAAAAACTGTTTCCTGCTTTTTGAAAATCAGTTGCTCCTTCATAGGCAAATCAATTTTTGAGAATGGCGAAGGATTCTTTTAACCTAAAGTTATTAAGTTATTCCATTGGTAGAATATTGTTATTGATATAGATTAATATGTGAGCTTTTTAATGTAACCATAATCTACTAAGTTTATGATGAAGGGTGTGTTTTTCTTAATGGTACTTACATTTCAGCAGAATGGCATAAGAGAACGTTTTCCTCTAATGCTGTACCTTAAGTCGGTGATTTATTTGGGTTTGTGCTAAATGTACAGCAGGATTCTATGTTAAAAAGAGCAGAATACTTCAACTCCATGAAAAAACAGGAGTACAGAAACATGTGGGGCAGGTTTTGGAAAAGCTTCACGTTCAGTGTGAAACTCTGGAGCAACAGTAGCTGCCAAAGAAAATTGTGGTCGGAAGAGTCTGCTAATAGGGCATGATGCATGTCACCTGAAACTAGAATCATGTGAAATTGAGAAACCACAGCAGCAGGCATCTCCTTGGACTTCTATTAAAACTTGCCAATAGCCTTTATTGCTGCCATTTCCAAAGGGAGGCCTCCATTAACTAGTTTGCCTTTGTCGCGTGCCTGGACAGACCAGACAAGCTGGAAATTGAATGCAGTAACAGTGGAATTAACTATTTTCTGTCTGTGTTTGCTTTGCTGCGGTTCTTTTAAAAAAGGGTTTTAAACCAGCAACAAAAACAGCTATGCAGTAATTTCAGCTATGTAGTAAAAAATTGTAAAAATTAAAAAATATATATAATTTTGGTTCACATGCAGAATAACTCACCTGTAATAAAATAAAGTGGATTGCACACTATGCTTCACAAAGGATGTTCCTTCAAATATATTTCAGACTTTTGCAAAATGTAAATGGCCACAACTTCTGCAGCTTATCACAAGGAAAGGGCAAGCATATCATTTTCCCAGCTCTTCTACAGAGCACCCATGTCCTCATGTTCTCCCCCATTCACAAGATTTTATACATTTCTGTCAGCATTTAAGGTAAATTATAAATCAATTCTACATCAGCAACTATTACTTTACTAAATTCAGTATGGAGTGTTTTACAGTCTCATCGAAACCGACATGAACCAGATTTAAATGCTGATGAAACTACAAAGAAATTATGGGCAGTATAAAAAATTGAAATGCATAACCAATTAGACTGTAATTAACCAATTATAGTTAGTCTGTTTAGACAGTAATGTAATTTGTTATGTTCCCCATTTCCCCTAATTAAGAACAACCCTGACACCAAATTCTCCAACGTGTACTGCTTGTACTTTTTAGACTTCACTGAGCAATGCAATGTCCTAGGAGAAGAGCTATTCATTGAGTTCCTCCCACAGTCCTGAAGGCATCTAGATGGTGTCATGCATTGCTGTCGAGCAACATACGGGAAAAGGATTCAGCCATGAGCCAGTTTTCATCCACCAGGCCTCCTTTCCATAAATGGGTCATGTGACACTTCAGGGATCAAACACAGATCCCAGCGAAGGACAAAACTAGCTTTGACTGGTCTGACATTCTACAGAAGTTAAAAGCTGAGTCTTCTTGAGCCATATTATCTATTTATTGTGAAGTTCTAAAACTGCTTAACCCCAATTGTCATATTTCTGCTTTGGACAGATCAGTGTCAAGGAAGGTCCCTTGACTATCTGGTGAATTCATAGCTTGCTCTTGTGTTGCCATTTGCTAACAGAAACGCATCAGATTTTCAATCGATTTAACGTCTTTTTCATGCTGTGACGTGACTAGTTGTGAATGACAGAATCCACTTATACATTGCAGAATTATGGAGAGCCTGGAGCCTACCCTGAGGAGCACAGACCACCCTCAGAGTAGAGCGCTGATCCATCACAGGGCATGCTCAAAGGCCAATACAAAGAAGTTGGTTTACCAAAATCTCACTCCTTCAGACTGAAGAAAGAAAGCGGAGCAGCAAGAGGAAACTCATGGTGAACACATGGAGAACATAGAAATTCAACACAGAGAGCTGTGCCAGGAATTCCAAACACACAACCCTGAAGGTGAGAAGCCACATGACAACCACACCACTCCTGACGAGTTCATTATGTTTTAAATACCTAGAAAGGTAAGAGAGTTTCTTCGTGTGCACATTTACAAATGTCTATACATAATCACATATCTTCTTCCTTATATTTAAATAATATTATAAATGGTGAAACTTATGCAGAAAAGGATTTTAAATTTCATTTCATACTCTGGACGCTGTTGACAGGCTGTGGGTGGAGAGGAAGTCAAACAGTGTCAATGCTAACCATTAAAAAGGCCACACAGATACTTGTGCGATATGATGGATTATTAACTCAGAGTATGACAGGTGCTGGAAGGGGTATGTCTTTTCTTCCTTTCTTTCCCTCTTTCTCTTTACCTCTATAAGACTTACTCAGGGTCACAACACAATCGTTATATTGACAATTTCCAGATAAAGTTATATGGCAAATGAGCTTCCCTGCTGCTCTGCTGTTTGCTGTTTGTAGTCAAACCATTTGGTGTCCTTGTCATAGAAACTAGAATGTTTATCGGTGTGCATCTTTACAGTTAGCCTATGAAGCTTGTCATGTCTCTCCAGGGTGGGGATGTTGGAAATGGGGGGGTTGTAAAAAATAAAAATTGTGTAAGGAAAAATAAAGTAGGATAAGCATATATTTAAATAAATCCCCTATTTAAATTTTTGTTCTTTATTTATATACGCAACCTCACTTAAAAATGAATGAATTGTTATTCTGTCTTTATTTGCTTGGCAGAAATATGATTTAGAGTAACAGTACATTACCCTGTATGTACAGTACACAACCCTGTACATATACTGTACTTAACATTGTCATTTATATATATAATAAAGAGTTTATCAAATGTATATTAAAAACATTTCAGATTTTCAGAAATTACGTGGGATTCCATTAAGTTATTTCAATCTTGTAATGTCTGTACAAAGATATTCTGGTTAAATGGGAATGACACAGTTTAATATTATTAGCTTTGTTTTCTCTAACAGGAATCTGCACTAAATTTTGCCTGTTTAAATTTTGTAGCTGAATGAAGCGTGCATATGCTCAGTTTCTTGTTGTACAGATTGCAGCTTGCAGTTGGTCTCTCTCTGGCAATTACCACTCAGTTTTCTGTCAGAACCTTGCACCAGCCACCTTTTTTATTGCACATCGACTTTGTGGGAAAATTAAAGGTTATCAAGGAGAAGGTAAATTTCACAGCTTATGCAATATTTTCTTTTGGATAAAAATAATTTGGACAAACAAAACAATCAGAAATATTATTTAACAACAGTTAATAAGATGCAGTTTTTTTGTGCTACTTTTTTTCTGAAAGGGAACAATTACATTTTAAGCATGCAATAATTGGAGTAAGAAGAGCAACTTAATATGTTTCTGTTTTTTAACAAGTGTCTTTTCAGAGAGAGTCAGAGCTTTAGTGGCAATCCAGATTTATTTTAGGGTTATCATGCTTGCACCTGCTAATGAATGAAAAGTGTCAGTCTTGTCAAGGTAAAATATCAATCAGCTTGTTGGACCTTTACTGTGACTGCAGCTAAAACAAGCATTCACAGATCTATCAGCATGAACCGATGCCGTCCTTCTTCCATATATGCAGAGCTCTTAATAGAACTAGCTGTCCTTCAACTGTCAGAATATTTCCTTCCTGAACCAGAGCTGATAAACTAGGGAAAAGAGTACAGATGAGGTGCAAGAGGTGATAGTGGCAGACTGTTGTGTGTGTGTGTGTGGGGGGGGGGGGGGCGGTGTTCAGTTATTTTAGCTTGTCTGAAGAAAAATAACAAGTTATGACAAAGGAACTCCAAAGTCACCATAAAACTGGTGGACATGCACATTGAGGCCTACAGTCAATCTTGTGTGACAGCTCACTGCTACCAGTGCAGCTGCAGTGTTGCTGAGGTATGTTTTGGAATCCTTCTCATTCTGATGGCGTCAGGGTCAGAGCACCTCACCTGTTGCTTCTCTTAAGCGTCTGCTGAGCGCTTAACAAGGATGAATATTTTTAACCAGGATGTCTGCCAATACGACACACTTAAGTAACTTTTTGGTTCACCTGTTGTTGTATAGTGCTTCACAACAGTCGTTGTACGAATGTCAAGTTGATATCACAATATGACATCCATGTCAGGTAATATCTTTACTGAAAATCTGATTGTTTTTGCATCTTATTTTTAAAGTGTGACATCTCGCGATGTCTGTATGCCATAACACAACCATATACTGTAATATTCAATATTAGCAATTCAAAGTAATATTCTATTCCAGCCAACAATTTCATCATTTACCAGACATTGGAAACTGTTGCCAGGTTACTGTCATCAGATACACCAGAGTCCACATTAGTGTATCAACAGGGCATAACCTATGTGCTCGTCTGAATTGTGAGACTTAATATATATGCAATAAGACAAGTTTAATGTAGGGGGAAAAACTCTGTTAAAACGGATTTTTTTTAGCATTTTAGCAAAAAATATTTAAGAAAAACAATAAGTCATATAATTTATGAGTAAAAATTTTTATAGTATTATTTTTATAATAACATGCTTTTCTGGAGCATTTTCACATACTGTTATTCTGTAATTTATTTGTAAAACAGGAGAGTACGTCTCAAATTTTAGCACTGCAAATGACTAATATTCAAAGTTAATGGTTTTCTTTTTAAAAAAATATTATGTGGGATCAAAATTTCTACTGTTTGAAATAAATAATTTAGATAATTACTATTTTTCTAATAGTAAGATTAAAAAATATATACAAAAATTGTAAGATGTTTTTAATTTCCAGTATAAAATAAAGACATATTGTCTTTGTGTTTTTATACATCATGCATTATACATTTCTATATGTATTTTTTTTACATCAATGTATGACTAGCAGGCATTTGATGGACAAAAAAGGAGCTACAAAACTGTACATCATTCAATTTATTTTTTATTGAATGACGTACAGTTTTGTAGCTCCTTTAGTCACAGTAGTGAGGTATCATTGAAGATATTAGCACATTTTATTTCATGCAACTGAAGTACACAGAGATTATGCAAGTTAGAAAATGAAGCTTTTTTTATATGGATTTTTATTTAAATAACATAAATCAATTAAATACATAAAACAATTAGTAGAATATCTTCAGATGTAAATTAGGTTAAACCTTGTCATCCTGACATATGTTTTTCGCAGCTGTCAAGTTATGCAGGCATCAGAAAAATCCAGGAAAGAGTATATTAACAAATGCACAATGTTAATATGTATGTCCAAAGTAAGCACATTATTTTAAGCTAATTGTAATTTTCACATGAAAAATTGTCATCTAATATGTCTACAAAATCTGATGGTATGCAATGCAATGTTTTTCCCATTCCATCAAATTTGTCTTATGGTGCAATCGAATAAATGACATTCCTGAAATTCCTAAGGTGCCAAATACTTTTCTGGTTTATCCTTATATTTTTGAAGTTCAAATATGTTGCCCACGGCTTCTGACAAGCCATGAATAGCATCTAGACAATAATAAATGTTCATTAATTTTTTAAATAAATTGTTATTTTGTTATTTGTTGGTTTGCTTGTTTGTTTTGATGACATCGTTACAGTGAGTACGTCAGTGGAGGACCTTGTTCTGCATGCTTCTTATCTCCAGCAATGTGCCTCATTACCCCTGCAGTGACAGGGTGTTGTTAACTCACCTACAACTGTGCTCCCACCGGAGAAGGAAGAGCATTGAACGACAGCCACTGAAACTTTTTAGATCCCTCCTACTAGTGGACAGAAAAAGTTTCACTGCATGCCAGATCCAATTAAACTACTAAAGTTAACCACCATTCAAATGATTTTCACTAGTAGCAGAAAAATAGTTTCAAACAGTCATGAGAGAATTACCCAAAAGAATCAGGAACAGATGATTCTACAAGAGCAGTGCACAGTACAACCATGACACTTACGCATGGGAGGTTTCATGCCGTTCCGAATTAAGGAGCCATATCACCCTTTGAATCACGCGAGTTATTAGTGAGATTAAGAAAGCGTTGGAGTATTAAGTTAGAAGATATAAATTATAGCATTACATAAATGTAATTGGGTCAAGGTCATATCCATAAAGGCATGGCATTTGGACTGCAAGAGGACATCAAAATGCAGAACATGCAAACTGCACACGTAGACACACACAGACACAGACACACACACATACATACAGTCATGTAATACTTTTGGGGACCGCTCATTAATTTCTATGGGAAAAATGCTAATGCTAACTATGACAACCTTAACCCCTACCTAGCCCTAACCGTAACCATAAGTAACAAAACAAAATACAAGAGTTTTTGCATTTTTACTTTTTTCATTGCAGTCACAGATTTTTATAAAATAGTGTTTTCCCATACAAAAAAAAAAAAACGAGTATTCATCACATTGTGGGGATATTTGGTCCCCACAAGGTAAGGTTTACCTGGACCACACACACACACACACAGAGTAATATTGTCAAACTTTCTTTAATTATGTAGGAAATAAGTAGGGTGGTATGTCCTGGGGTGGTATGAAATCGAGTAACATTAACTTACATGTGCTTAATTAACAATAATATATTGATATTTTTGTTCTGTCTCATGGCTGAGAACACTTGTCCAGACCCTGTTGCCTGCACGTGTACCCCATAAAAGGTCTTCCTAATGCCCCTTTTGTATTCATGTATGTTTTACTTTGTGCTGAAGCCATAATGAATATCTTAAGTTTTCTTTCCTCTCTGCCATTTTATTAAACCCTGCCTCTGCTTCACTAATAAAAAACCACATCCCTTTCTTTCTTCTATCCCACATCACATGGCTCTGTTCAGCTTCCTGCCCGGAGCCTTCCACATCCCATTTAGTGATGCTCCACATTAATGGTCATTATTAATACTTCTATATAAAAAATATATATATGCATGTAATTGTAACATTTAAACGTGTTCTAAGATAAAATATTAATGACACCAAAGTCTGTAATTGACCACAATTT